TGTGTATATATATATATATATATATATATATATATATGAATAAAGTCATTCAAAAAATCATTGTGAACATCTAATTGTTTTATGTCCCAACCATGTGACGTAGCTAGAGATGACACCACACAGACAGTGGCTAGTTTGGCAACTAGACTAAAGGTATCAGTAAAATTGACTCTAGAAATCTAAGAAAAACCTTGAGCAACTAATCCTTGTTGACTTATTATCCTTAGGGTCAAACTTGGAGTGGTGAGGACCAAGAATATGGACAAATCATACACATCCAGATATCCTCAAAGGAACATTGAACATCTCCCCCTCAGGAAAATGAGGTTGAACAGAGTAGTGAACACAAGAACAAGAAAAGGTACCCCAATTGATAAAATCGATTGTTGTAAGGACTGCATCACCCCCAAAATGAACTACAACTGCAAAACTCACCATCATACTTCTTGCTACTTCCACAGTGTCTATTCTTCCTTTCTACTGCACCATTCTATTATAAAGTGTATATACAACTATTCTTGTGGACTATTTTATGCTCCAATAAGTATGATGTGAAGTTTTTCTCAAAGTATTCCTTAGCATTATCTAAACTAAAAACCTTCGCTCGTATTCTAAATTTTGTTAGCACCATCTGATGGAACTATTGTACTAAAGAAGGTACTTCAATATGGGATCTCATCAAATATATCCAAGTGTATCAAGAATGATCATCCACAAACAAGAGAAAAAAACAGTAACCACCCATAGAAAGAGTATGATATGGTCCTCACACATCACTATGAAACATAAAAAACTGAAGAACATCTTCTATTGTTTGCTTTAAAAGAATGTATACAATGTTTTCCAAATTAACAACTCTCATACTCCAAACCAGACAACCTAACAGACTCAACAACTTTAGAAACAAAAAATGCAAAGAAGCAAAAGATAAATGCCCTAATTGATTATGCCAAAGCATAATTTGACCAACTAAATCTGACTCATTGTCCTTGTTGACATGATGACTCTGATGAATGGGAAGCACATCAAGAATGTAGATTTCATTCATCTCATAACCACTCCCAATCGTCATCTTTGATTCTAGATCCTATAAAATACAATGACCAGGAAAAAAAAGTACTAAATAATTCAAATTCTTGGTCAAACTACTAACAAATAAAAGATTAGTGCTTAGTCTAGGGATATAGTGTATGGATGGCAAGGTAGTGGTATTAGTTATCTTGACAGATCTCTTCCTAGTAATGGGAACATGGGATCCATCAACTGTAGAAACTCTATCTCTACTAGAGCAGAGGTGGTGAGGAGAAAATAGTGGAAATATTGGCCATGTGTTCTAAGGCTCCTAGAGTCTATAATCCAGAGAGGTCCCCCTTTACCTGTAGTGGATGCATAATTTGTGGTGGAATGTGAACTATCTTTAATGTGCAAATGATGTAAAATGACTACCTCCTAATCCACTTGCACTTTGTTGTCCACCTGATCATGAGCTAGAACTAGTTGCATCTCTCTAATGCAGAAACTGTCCATATCTCTCTAACTCGGCCCTAATTGCGGTTGTTGCAACAGACTCCAAAGAAGTTGTAGTAGGTGGCCCTAATGAATCACCAACCACTACCATATTAATATTCCCCTTCTTATTTCTAGGCCAACTTGGTATAAGGTGTGGGTAGAGCTTCCAGCACCAACAAGTATCTCTGATATGCTTGGATTTTTTACAGTAATCATAGAACAAGTCCTTCTTGTCTTCCTTCCTTGGTTCACTACCACCTTTTTCCCCACTCGGCTTAGGTTTTATTGTACTCACCATAGCTGATTGCTCAAAGCTTGAGTTTCTCATCATCACATTCCTCTTACTCCATGTGAACGTCAGTAAAACCTAAATGTTCACTTCAAGACCAAGTAGATGGAGTCTCCTCCCATTAGAAATAGATAACTGGGAGTGATAGGTCTCTCGGGTTTAAATTTCACAAAACATTTGGAATTAACAACGACTCCACATCATTTAGCTAGGACAAGGACAATCTGGGTAAGTTGAGAGAGTAAGAGAGAGGGGAAAGGGGTTAGGCATCCCTCTCTCTTGTTAATATGAATACTAGATTTCCCTCTCTAATTCAAATCCGAACTAGAGACCCGGATCCTCTAGTAGCTCGAAAGGATGCTTCACTTTGTACTCCTAGACCAATCCCCTTTTGGATGCAGGGGCCTAAGTAGAAAAGGTAAGAGATTGCTCCCTCACCCCTTTTATATTAAAGCCCCCACCCTTAGGCTCAAATGAATGGTTTAAAGAGAGAGAAAGCACAAACCTCTCAAACTCTTAGAGAATACACAGATTCTTGTGTTTGAACTTGAATGCAAGACAGAATAGAAAGATTAAGCTACAAGGGAATATTATAGAGAATCAAAGAACAATGAAATAAATAGACAAATAACCGAAGCAAAACCAATATTATATTCTAAATATTGGATTAGGTTTGGATAGGAACTTGGGGATATGAGCTAATTGGTTTTTACCTCTTATGAGCTTGAATGAAATAACAATGTTGTAGTAGGCTATAGGGGTTCAACCTCTGTTGAAAAATGGATTTCAAATAACAACATTTCAACTGGACTTTGAACAAGAAAACGATGGGGTATGAACCATCGATGGAAAAAAGGAGAAGATGATATGACCCAAGGACGCTCTACTGCTAAATGCTTCAAGCACCAAGACGCCCTTCTAAAGCTTCTCGAGAAAAGACGGGATTGAACCTTTGAATTGTGATTCCTTCTTATTTGTAACTACTTTCATCTCATCTTCCCTCCTTTTTTTTCTTCAACAAAACCATCTTTCGCCTCTTTCTCTCTTTCTCCCAAGGCCCTCTTCTGTATATCTCTCTCTTCTCTCTCTTGAAGCCCTCTCTCATCTCTCTCTCAAAAGCCCTCTCTCGCCTCTCAAAGCCCTTCAAAAGATTACTCCCTTCCCTCCTTCGTTTGCCCTTGGGAACAGTGCTCCCTCTCTTTATAATGGTGAGGGGGAGAAAGAAAATCTACCAAGATGCCCATCCAAGGGATGGGGTTTAAGGACAAGGTTTATGGGTGGTCTAGATCAAATTGAGGTTTTGAGAAGGTTTAAGAGGGGTTCCAATTATGAGAATTGGTTTTTCTAGAGGGTGTCTTTTAGGAATTCTTAGAGTTTGAGGGGGGGGGGGGTAATGTTATATCATTAATTACTTGGGAGGGTTCAAGCATGTTGAATTATTCATGGTTTAGAGATGGGGGAACCTTGGGGAGTTTGGCTTTAGACTTTTGATGTGACAAGTTATGAGGAATATTTTGATGATTGGTGTGAGGGTTTTTTATGTAATTTGTTGTAAAGGGTATTTTTAGCAATTCGGGTTAGGGGTATTTTAGTAATTTGTGTGAGGATATTTTGGAAGTTCAGGGGAGAAGGGTATTTTGGTAATTTGGTGTGAAAAGTATTCTAGGGATTCTTTTGAAGGGTATTTTGGTAATTTGGTATGAAGGGCATTTTAGGGATTGTTTTGAAGGGTATTTTGGTAATTTGGTATGATTTTGGGTTGAGATTTGGGTTCTTGAAGAGGTTAGGATGGTATGATGGGTGTTCGAGTGCGAGTTGGGGGTTTGAAAGGAGGACTAAGCAAAAATCGTGTGTTAATACTCTCCTCTCCAAACATAAAGGCATATGCTTAAGAGAGGGTGACACTACACTATCCCAAAAAAAAATATGTTGTCATGCAATGGCATATTCTAGGTTGAGTCTTGCCAAAAACCCAAACACTCTATTCTTCCCTACCAGTTCCTAATAAATAGTTGCATCCTTGCTCTCTAAATGATCTATCTCCTACCATAAGGTTTTGAGGGCTGAAAAATAAAGTACAACAGTCTCATATCCCTATCTAGTAGCAATCACCCGATTCCTCAACTGTTAGGCTCTAACAACATTCTCACTTTGTAAATGAATCTCTACTACTCTATATAGGGTTTAAGCCAATTAACCAGAATTTTGGATATTTGTACACCACATTACATAGACTTTTATTTTCAAGGATGAGAGTTATGAATGTTCTATTAATGGCTCTATTCATTTACCCTAGATAGAAGAAAGCCTTTACAACGGTAGAGATAGACTCTTTAATTATGGACCAGAATTTTTTGAAAAGTATAGCATTCAATCCATTGGGCCTAGGTGCTTTGAGATCTTGAATTGATTGGAGAGTACTAAAAATTTCATCATCAAGACATCTTTAATAGGCTCCATATTGATTTCATTTGAGATACAAGGGTTACTCTCACCAATAAACTCTTCAACCCCATTGATGCCTTCAGATCTAAATCTATTCTCAAAGAAACAAGAAAAATAATTCATAATGTTTGTTTGATCTTGAATCCAAGTTCTTCTCAAACAAGTACTTTAGTTAGCTGATAATGTTGTGCTCTTTCCAAGTTAGCCAAAGACATATTGGTATGCTCTTCCATCATGCATTTTTGGGCATCTTCAATCTAGCCAAGCTTGCTTTTTTCAGGCTTAGATTCCCAAAATTATTTTTAATTGACATTCCAATCCCAAGCCCCCTTAACCACCTCCTCCAGACTAGTGTCAAGACACCACATAGCCTCAAGCAGAAAAGGCTTGGGGCCAAAACTGAAACTAGGGTTTGTTTCTAGCAAAATGGGGGTGTGATCAAATGCTAAAAATGGTAAATTCACAAGGTTCCCATTTGGGAATTCACACCACCACACACACATCATTGACCAGAACCCAATCAATCCTCTCTTTAGTGGTGGAATTCCTCCATGTATATTGTAAACCTTTCATATATAAATCAATTAGATTGTAATAGTGAATAAGATCATTGAAATCTCGCCTTTCAAATCAGCCCCCGATTGCCCCCCACAACATCCCACAGCATCCCATAGCTGATACTTTTCGCCTTTGAATTTGAATTGCATGATGTGGCGTAAGGTGGGGCCATAGCAATGCATCGAAGAGCCGTGATTTCACGTTTTAGCCTCTTGCTTTATATGCCAATACAGATATTAACGACCGGGAAAGGTATTTGAGCTTTAAAATGGTTGGCGTTTTGGCGCCAAAACCAAAAGAGAGTGGTTAAGAAATGCAGGCAGTGAAAGAGAGGAGAAGGAAGAAGAATGAACTCAAAAGGGCCTTCTTCCAACGCGATCAGGGGATTTGGGCAGCGCTCCATTTCCTCTTCCTCATCTTTCGCCTTTCGCTCTCAGAGTGCGGATGCAAAGTATAAAGCCTCCTTTCTCCTTCCATTTTATTTGCTCTTTGATATGTTTTTTCTGGTTTGTTTGTTTTTTTTTTCTAATAAATACCCACTGTTTGTGGGTTGTCGTATCCGTGAACTAAACCAGTTCCAAAGAATCGAAGGGGGATGTGCAAGCCAAATCATCCAAGAAGAATTCCTACATATCCCTCTCTGAATTTCTAGACCGGAAGCTCGAGAAGACTTCCAAGCCGGCTAAAACAGTTCAGGTATCTTGCATTTGGAAATCTGAGTTCTTTTTGTTTTGGGGACTTGATTTACTGAAATTCAAGAACCCAATTGTTAATAGGGCAAGCAGAGCCCGTTTTCTTCGCTGGTTGGAGGTGGAAATGATGCCAATGGGTCCACCGCTGAACGGGTTGAGGTCAGAAAAGGGGGAGATGCAGATAATGGTTTTCTCGGTGAAGCTGTGTTTGAACAGTTCAAGTGTGCTAGAAAAGATAAAGAAGATTGTGAAGATTCATGTAAGGGAGGTGAGGTTGTCGGATCTACAACGATTGATGAGCAAGAATCGAGAAAAAGAAAAAACCCATTTGAGTTTTCTTCTGAAGGTTTTCTCTCCTGTCCTGGTTAACTAATGCAAATTGCTTCCCTACACTTGTTTTTTTTTTCTTCTTATTGCTTTATTCTAGTATGGTCATGATTTGATATGTTTAAATTGATATTCATTTTGTGAAGTTGGCTTCAGTTTGTTCGTACAACTTCAGGCCTCAAAGAGGTTATTGGTAAGTGCAGCATGAATGAAATAATGTATTGAGCCTTATTCATAAAAAAAAAAAACAATGTATTGAGCCTTGTTGAAAAGGATAAGCTGGAAAGGCGGGTATCTAGACAAATGAACTTTATTGAGGAGATGAATAGATGAATTGATTTTGTTAAGCTTCTTCATTGCTTCTAGTGCAATAGCAAATTCACTCTCACTCAACCTCAAAGGCTATGCAAGATACGTGGATAGGTTATCTTCAGTAAGCTAGTTAATTACAGTCTCTTGTCATTTTCTGCTGGATAATCCAATGGAACTTAGAAAATCTAAAAGAACCAATATCTCCCATTTGATGAATAGCCAGAAAGTAACATTTAGATACTGAAAGTTAGCAAGTTATCAGTGGTTGAACACCCATAAAGGGATGCATTTGGAAGTATATAATTTGCATCAAGTGAGGATATAAGAAGATGAAATGATTGTTCTAAACCTTGATTTTAATGATAAGGAAACAGGGAGAGGGGAAGAAAGATGAACCAATATAAATTTGTTCGACTAGACATCTACCGATTTCAGGTTTTCTGCTTGAATAGATAGGGAGTTCCGCCAATCAACCTTGTTTTTTATTGCATATTCAAACTGTGCACTTGAATTCACAATTCAGTTTTAGTTAATTTGAATTTTATTTCCTTTAGGTCTTCCCATGATTGATGTGGTTGGTCTGTTTCTTGCGTTCATTAGTAGACATTGGTGATTGATGGATAATGGAAACAATGCCCATCTGCCTGACCCTGTTATGCTTGTTTTCTAGACAATAAGCAACGTGGCAATCGAAGATATTTGGTAGTTCTTGGCGATGAACCAAAACCCAAGCAAAAGAGGAGAGAACAGAGTTTCATCAGGAATGAGAAATCAAGTCATCTGTTTAATCACTGTAAGACTATTTTTCACGGTTCATAGGTGGATCAGAAAATTTTCTTTCTACAGAATCACCCAAATGACGAAATTTCTTTTGTGCATACCAAATGTCATCCAGCATGCTTAGATTTATTGGAATTTTTGGTGCATGTATTTCTTCCTGATGTTCTACACACATTACCACAGTTACGCTTCCTCTTTCCTGTCCAAACTGCATAAACCATTAAGCAAACTGGGATAGGCTTATTTAATTTTCCATCTTGTTCCAACTTAAAACTGGAAAATTCTAAATAAAAGTAACCGTGGTTTTTGTGTTGATTTTCACAGATGCAAATGGAAGTGGCTGGTGGGACTGCAATATGGAGGGCGTCGACAGTGAAGTAGGTTGTCGGGAAATATGGGAAGGCATGGGCTCCACCACATTGGGAGGACTGGAATGGCATTGATTGGAATCATTGGACCATAACATTGTTCCTAAATTCACTACAAGTTCATATTTCTTGAGTCCAAAACCTTATTTTCTTGTGGGGTTATATTCAAATATGTATAAGAAAAAAATGGTTGAAAACAAAGAAATCCAGAAACTTGATAAATGATATTGATATTTTCTAGTTATAAGATACGAATTTTAAAGCTGGAACACAATCACCACAGGATCAAGAACTCTTCCCAAGGTGCTGCTCTCCAGCACAATCATTCCTGTGCCATGTCATTGTCATTCATTGCTTGTTCAACTAAAAGCAAAAAAAGGAAAAAAAAAACGTCGATAATAATTATTACTGTTGTTTGATTTAAGGTAAATGATTGCTTAATGCATCGAAGGAAGGCTTATCTCTTGGTTGGCCTGTCATGGAGTACCCAGCAATATAGATACGTTTATTGGCGTGAGTTGCACCTCTTATGCATTCTGGACTAGTTTGACATTATGATTATGAATGGTTTTGAAATTCAAGACTTCAAGTACGAACTGTGATTGTAATTTTGTTCAATGAGATTTAAGTCTTGAATTCAATATAATGAATTACAGTCTAAAAAGTGCATGGCAAAGAGAGATTAAACTAAAAAACAGCTTCACAGCCTGCCTAGTTAGGTCCTATTAGGTCTGTAGGGTGAAGTTCCCAATATTTCATATACTTTGTTTCCAATTACATTGTCCACAAAATCCTTAATTAGGATTTCTGCCTTGGTGAGTAAGTGTAGGGGCCTTTACATGATGCTATGCTAAAATTTGAGGCTGACTAGCGTGAAAGTTCTTATCACAAAATCCTGAATGAAGCCACTTTGTGCTAAAGTTCTTATCAAACCAACACGCAACACCCAAGACTCCAGATAGCAAAGACCAGCATTAGGTAATAACTGGGAATTTTGCTTGGGCGCCACTCGTTTAGAGTTTAGACGTTTTCCTGGTGAATTTTAGTGTATTGAAAAAAATAAATCGTCTCCATTTGAAACTCCGTTTGTAGGACTATGTAAACTTTAAATCTCAGGTGCTCCATCTAGTAACTCATCGGTAGATTAGTCACTAGTCAATCCTTGACATCGTTCTTATTTAAGGTTCAGGCAGTAACCGCAGTTACCTACACATCTCAGGAACAATTTCCATTGTTATTCACCAACCCGTTTTCATTTATCTTTTCAGTTTCCACAAGAACATGACTTGGATATATAAAATTATAAGTCAACCACTTTATTGGGAGAAAAAGATAACAAATCACAAAATTTTGGGTTCTACAACCCGTTGAAATTACTCGCAAGGTCCTCTCTTCTTGAACAAAGAACATCTGATCATTCGTCAATAAGGAGCAATCAACAGGGAGAAAACCTCAACCCAAACTCTAAAAGGGACAACCAATGAGGAAGCCCCAAAGCCCAAGTATTGTACAATAATTTGCAGATCATAACCTAATCATGTTATCTTCACTCATCAAACTCGATGCCAGCCATGGGCACCTCAGCGCTGATTTCATCACCATCTTCACCCTCTCCACTTTCATCACCAACATCCATTGTAGATCCTCTCTTAGCATAATCCACCTTAAAATCGTAGTCAGCATCCATGTTGTCTGTTCCACTTCCTTTCTTAGCTTTCTTCCGCTTCTTCTTCTCTGCCTTAAGAAGCCTTGTATTCAATATCCCTTCTGCTGCATATAATTTTTCATTTTGCCTGCTATTGACAGTTTTGGCTTTGGTCTTTCCTGCATCATCTTCATCACATCCCATGGGTTGATCGCCATCAACTTCAGTCATTTCTCTGGGTTGGGCATCCCCTTGAATTAACACTTCAGGTTGTACATCATCCTGAGGGAATATAGGTTTTGGTGAACACAATAATTGATAGCACAAAGTAGAGTATAAAAACAGTAAATTTTGTTTCATATTTTATGAGATTCGCCCTCGTTCAAAATTAAAAGCATATACGTGAAAGGAGAGAAGGGCTCAAACTACAGTGCATAAAATTAGGTGCATATCCAAGTGCATGGAATGTGAAATGCAGTTGGTGCAAATTGAACAGTGATGTCAACTGCATATTTGGGTGGACAGCTCCTAATGTCATAAAACGATGGGAATGATGCATAGAAGTTTTTCATACATTAAAATGAGTTGGAGAGCAAACCTCTAGCATCTTCTTATCAAAATTTAAAGGACAACTTGGAGGAACTTCAACAGAATGGAAATTCTCTACAGATTCGAGGCTTCCAATGAACGATGTTTCACCCTTGTAAGCTTCATCAACATTGAACTCTTTCCCAAGCTCTGATACAATAGCTGCCTCAAAATTCTCCCCTTGATTCCTAGTTGGAGGCATTGTATAATATGGAATTTTACCTGAAACACATAAAGCATAAACTATCACTTTTATGCAAGTGTACACATAATTCTTATTTCCCTTTTTCACGTTCTTTTAAATCCTGCACACAGCATATAATGAGAAGCAAATCCTCAAAATATACATACCCTCATTCCAGTCATGAAGAACTATTCTTGCAGCAGCGTCAACATCAACAGCACCACCCTTCTTGAGCTTACCTCTAACAGAAGCTACCTTCTGTAGGAAGTCATCCACTGTATCGAAGTTTTGAAGCTTGTATATTGTTATCAATGTTTTGGCAGGGCAAAGCTTAAGAATCTCTTTCACTGCAAAGTGAACAAACCATTATAATATATTACTCCCTGCCTAAGTTTAGTTGTGATCAAACTCACAAAACAACTAAGTTTGCAAAATGAATGGTTTTAGGCAGTGTTCTACAACAATAATGTTTTTATTTATTTGTTCTTGAAATCACCACATCAGCAAAAAAATGTTCTAGAACTGTATTTCTGTTTTGAGAAGCAAAAACAAGTTGATTTTGTTTCAAAACTCATTAAATAATACCCTAGTTTTTTTTCAACTCCATCTTTAACAGAAATAACCAAATGAACTTCACCACTTTCTTAGGTTCCTCCTAACCTACCTATACAGTTAGAAGCTTATAGAGTTCGGCACCACAACAATTTGGTTCACCTCTACTCTGATATCACCACTAACAGTTGGAATTCATAAGGATCTAAACTTTGAGCACAATCACAAGTTCACAACACCTTTCCCAACTGTTCTCCTATGGACTCAATAAAACTGACAATCTTAAGGAATCAGAATTTAACCTACAAGTCTGCAACATACTCTAAAGAATAAGGGAAAATAATACAATTAAAATTACAAAGCTGTGGAATGACTCCAAATAATAGTATAATGACAGCATTAAAAAGAATAAGGGAACTTCCAGTCAAAATAATGGACTGATTGGAAGTAGGATGCATGTATTAAGATTTTAGGCAACTGATCCATTGGAAGAAAGTAGTTTATTAAAAAAGTGACTGAAATGATAAGAAAGCAATATATCAAACATTATTACAGCAGTAAGAAACAGAGTTTCATAAGAAATTGCCAGCAGAATCAATGCTCAAGTCAAAATACAAGTGGACCAAGTACGGTATGTTTAATTGTTTCTGGTTCCCTATCATAACTTCTTTTTTCAGTTATCAAAGGAGTTATCAGTTTCCTGAGACAAATATGCATGAATAAAGATAAACATGTCATATTACCAGGACCAATAGGATCATCTAGTTTCTCAATTCTTTTGCAATTACGAAGAGCTATAGATGCATCATTCTCTGCAGACTTCAGCATTACAACCCCAGGACAGTCCAGCAATTTCACATTCTTATCTAACTGAACTTCTTGCATTGATCTTGTTAATCCTGGAGTAGCACCAACATTGACAACGTGACATCTCTTCAAGCTATTAATCAAACTACTCTTGCCAACATTAGGAAGTCCAATAACACCAACTGTAATTGACTTTTTTATCTGCCAAGTACAAAGGATATCAAATGTTAAGGTTTAGATGAAGTACAATACATTCGGCATCAAACATGACCAAAGGCATCAATCAGCAATCTTAAAAAGACTACGAAAATTAAGCAGATGTTAATATTATAACCCAAAAGGATATAGAGTATGAGTTTACATGCTCAACAAAGCACACAAGGGGTAGTAAACATGACAAAATGTAACTAATATAACAGAAACAAATTTTGGGCACACCGCGCACCAGAAAAGAAGCTGAACAAATGATATTCATTGAAGACACTCAATGTTATACCCATCCATAAGAATAAGGGATGAGGATGTTGTTTTTACCCTATCCAGAGACAGAGCAACATGTCCTGACAGCTATCCAGCCCTGCTCTTAATTCATTTTGGGATGTCCTTTGCATGGATTTTATTGAGGCCATCCACTATTTTTTTCTTGGTGATGATTTGCCTAGATACTACTTTGATTTTTTTCTGACAAGTACTTCCTCCATTATTTTGATTCCCAAGAATGAGAACCTCTTGCTATTCTTTGAATACAAGCCAATAATCTTGTGCAATCTTTTGTATAAGATTGTTTCAAAATCATGGTGAATAGATTTAGGGTGTCTGTTCCACAGATCATCTCTTAAGAGCAAAATGCATTTGTTAGGATCAGAAGATTACTGAGAAAGATATACTAGCCGAAGAAGCTACCCAAGATATTGGCATGAAGATGTAAAATAATGTGGCAATCAAACTGGATATGGGCCAAGGCATGTGACTGCCTGGGATAGCATTTTCTCAAGAAAGTCGCAACTCCTAAGATCTCTTGGTTTCTTAGAAGAATGGGTTAAATTGATGGACAAAGTTATTTGAAATTGTAGTTTTCAATCCAACATAAATGGCAAGAAGTTGGAAACTTCCCACTGTGTGTGCGCCAGGGCTACCCTTTCCCAACATCCAGCATTATATGTATTATCTCTTTGGAGACTTCTCTTGTATTAAAGAGGCATAGCATCACCCCTCCCATTGGTTGTACAAGGAATTTTATCATAGAAAGTTCTCTATGTTCAATTGCCTGCTCTCTCCCCAAACCCATAAAGGAGCCCCTAGTACAACCAAATTTTTAATCTAAAGGATATTCACCCAAACCAAGATGTTGTTGGCTACTCAGCTTACTCCACGAGTCCTTGTCTTGCTAGTGAGTCAGCAAGAAAATTAGCAATTTGGGGTACCCAGTGTTTTAAAAGTGCAAGGCGCAAAAAAGGCACAAGGGTCAATTTGCGCCTGAGGCGCAAGGCGCAAGGTGAGGCATGTGCCTTTTTAAGCAAGCCACAAAAACTAAAACAAAAGCTAAAAAATAAAAAAAAAAAAAGCCAAAACTTTTCAAAAAAAAAACAAAAAATCAATAAAAATATTAAACACGACATTAATAAAAATATAAACTAACTTATTATCTAAAATTAAAATACATAAATATAACATGTAAAGCATATTCAAATGAGAATTTAAAAATAAAATCAAATATATAAAACATTTTCAAGCATACAAAACCCACAATCTCTTTTTTCTCAATTGCATTACTTCAAGTAGCAAATGTGATGTAAAACATATTACATTCATGATTCTATGAGATGCCTTTGTGCCACGCCCTTGAGGCAAGCCCAAACAAGTCCACGTTAGGTCTTAAATTCTTAGTTCTCACACAAAAAAATAATGACTTTATAGTTTTAATTGCTTTTTAAGAAGATATTTTATTAGGATGAATGAATGAACAACATTACCAAATAGGGGGTTCTTGAGGGGTGTGGCACGGGGGTCTAGGAGCGGAGCCCCTGACCCAACCGCTAGACACAAAAAAAAAGCAAAAAAGCGTCAAATTTTTCAAAAGGTGCATGCCTGGGCTAAGGTGCAAAACTTTTGAAAGGGCTGTGCCTACGACCTGGGCGAGGCACCCACCCTAAAATGCGCCCCGCCTGTGCGCCTAGGCGCACCTTTTAAATCACTGGGGGTACCCAATTAAAATCTGCTTCCATCTCATTAGCCAGATGTCTTGCTTCCCTAATCTGGTGCCTATGGTGCTCTGGCACTTCACATTCTAACTTGAACCATCCAATGATGGTTTGTGAATCCCCTTCTATATGCATAATTCTGGAACCCATGAGCAAGGGGCTCACTATGACTTTAAAAATATGAAGACTCTATTTGCAACCATTAATACTTCACTTCCAAATGAAACTCTGATCTTCATGTTGACCTAGAGTAGACAACCCTCTCCCCTAGTTAGTAAGAAATCTAAGGGAGTGTGAATGAATGATTTAATAAAGGAATGGACTGCCATAGCTGATGGGATTAATAGAACAGCCTAGAATTGAAAATTGACAGTCCCCTGTGTTAAGACTATTAAAACTAATTTTTGACAGGTGCAGCCTCAGTAATCCTGGAGCTTCTGGTATTGGAATGATCAAAGATGCTGAAAGCCAAATAAGGTTTAGCTTCTCCAGTCCTCTAGTTTTGGTAATGTTCTAAGAGCAGCATTGATGGTGGTAATACAAGGGTTAAGTTTGCACAGATAAATTGGAAGGACTTGATTGTTGTGCAGTTGAGGAAAAGATCAGATTGGCGCCCCACAGAGTGCACCCCACATGCACATTCAGCGTGCATGGGGAACATCTCCCATACATGTCATGGGGAGATGTTCCCAATATGGGTTGTGGGACACACTGATACAAATTCGTTGAGGGGGATTGCAAGGTGGTGATCTCCTGGTTATGCTCTGGAACTGAGGTGCTAGGGTCTATAGAATTTCTGTAAGGGGACCACAGTCCTTGAGAAAAATCCTGACTTGCTTGTTCAGATGGGTTACAAGATGTACAAATGAGTTGGCTGCTAGATTAGCTAAAATCAGGAACTTCATTGCATTCTGTAGATTGGGGATTTACATGTCCTAAGATTGATGTGTAATTTTTTTGAGCAAAAAAGGTAAAGTATAATTGTATTAATGAAAAGGTCCTTTGTACAATGAGAAGCTGTACAAAAAGCAAGGACCTGAAAAGAAGGTCATCCTCAAAAAATTACAGTCAAAAGTAACCTCTTTAAAGTCAGCAAGAATAGACAACCAATTTCTAACAAAACCTAAAGCCGAATTGATGACTTCTTCCAAAGAGGATTTGAGATCAAAAACCCTGCTATTCCTTTCTGTCCATACCACCCAAAAAATTGCTAAGCAGAAAAGCACCTCTTTCCTTTTTTTTTGCCATCCCTTGGATCTGCCATGCCTCCAGGCAAGCTTTAACTGAGGTCGGCATACACCAACTTAACCTCAAATTTCTGAAGAAGTGGTTCCGGATTTTAGTAACAAACTTGCAGTGTAAAAACAGATGGTTTATTGATTCTGTAAAGTTGTAAACACACCACAGGCTACACCTCAGATCATTACAATTAAAACCTTTCTTCACCAACATCTCTTTAGAGAGTCATTTCTCTAAAGCTGCCACCCAAACAAAGAACTTGATTTTGGAGGGTGCCACAGTCCCCCAAATAGCCCTGCTAGGAAAGAGAGCTTCAGACCCTCCCACTATGGAGTTGTAGAAGGATTTAACCAAAAACTCCCTGCTTCTGTTCCATCTCCACATTAAGGAATCCTCTGATTGCAGATTCAACACCTGAGACTGAAGCGAAGCTAGGAGATTTCCAACCTGCTGAATCTCCCAGCCATTGAAATCCCTTCTAAAGGCCGGAAGCCCAGAACCCAGAATATAGCATTGTCCCTCAACACAAAGGTATCAGCTACCATTGCCTCTTTATCTACAGCCAGACTGAACAGGGTGGGAAACAGTTCCTTAAGAGATCTCTCCCCAGTCCAGGGATCCAACCAGAACCTGATCATTCTCCTGTCCCCAACTTGGAAGCCGATTCCCCTTCTGAACAGATTTGAAGCTCTGCATATTCCTCTCCACAGACTACACCCTTAAATCAACAAAGGTGGACCACTAACCCAACCACTATCATCCAGCCCATATGTTTCTGCTATTACTTTCCTCTAGAGGTTATCAGGCTCAGCAACAAACCTACATAGCCATCTTCCTAGCAGAGCTAGGTTGTGTAATAGCTGTTTCAATGCCAATATTGTGGTGAGATAACCGGTCGGTTCGGTTTCGGTTCGATGTTTTAAAAAAACTGACAGTTTCGGTTAGCCATTTAAAAAAACGGTGGTTAACTGAACCAAACGACATATATGTCAATAATATATATTTATATAATATTATATATATATTTTTTTTGAAAATCTAATTAAAATTTAAAAATCCGAACTGAGAGTGGTCAAACTCAAACGTGGAGGTTTCAGTTCGCCAGTCTGCTAGACTGGCGAACAGCCTGTCTGACAGACTGACACCTGCCATGCAGGGAGCCAGGGACTTTTCAGTTTTCCCTTAATCCCTTTCTTTCCCCCTCTCTCTCTCTGAGCTCTCTCTCTCAGATTCTCACTTTCTCAGACTCCCACTCTCCATCTCTCCCAGTTCTCTCTCTCTCTCTCTCTCTCTCTCTCTCTCTCTCTCTCTGACTCTCTCTGAGTTCTATTTCTTTCCCTTTTCCCTTTTCCCCAACAGACTCTCTCTCTAAGCTCTCCCTCTCTCTCTCAAATTCTCACTCTTTCAGACTCCCACTCTCCCAGTTCTCTTCTTCCCCAACGAACCAACGGCCTTCAGCGCTCCGCCTGCCAATCAAATCACCGACGGCCTCGGCCTCTGACACTGGCGAATCCCTCCTGCTTCGGCGACACTGGAGGTTCGGCTGCATTTGCTTGTCAACACTGGTGATCCCTGTACTACATCTCCCAGTTCTCTTCATCTTCAATTGTGTTTTTCCCTTTTTTTATTTTGAGGGCATAAAAAAACCGACAAACCGAACCGTGGTTAACCGGTTGACCGGTTACATCGGTTCAGTTTCAATTCGATTAAATGTAAAAACCAAACATATCAGTTCGGTCCAGAAAATTACCCACGATTCGGTTAACAGAACCGTGAGCACCCCTAGATAACATGTTTTCAGCTATTTTCTCCTTATACATATTATGATCAAGCACATGAAACTTCCAATCTGTTTACTTAACTCCTCATTCAAGTAGCTAATTTGATGCTAGACATCTTTTTTTTATCATCAACACAAAAATTGATTCATTAAATTTAAAATGAAGATATACAACAAGTTGTGAGCAGAAACAACAGGCCAAAGAAGAACTATGCCAATATTTACAAAACAGCCCAGAACATTTGATGCTAGACATCATGTCTTCATAATCCTAGGAGACTGACCACTGTCCTCCATAAAGGCCCTTTAAGGCAAGTCCAAACAAGTCATGTACGGAAGCATTCCAACCTAAATTGTTGGTCCTACATGTATAGGCCAAATGGGCTACACAACAGGGGTGGCCTTCCCCCAACACCCAAACTACCCAATCCTTGGTCATGGCAATGTTCGATCCCAAGTCTCCATTACAACCAGCCAGACCTTACTAGGGGTTGGTTTTGTGATTTTAGTCGCAAATGCACCATAGGTTACCTTGGTGTATGGTGTAGGTCAGTGTTTTAAAAGCGCAAGGCACAAAAAAAGCACTAGGGCCAATTTGTGCCTGAGGCGCAAGGTGCAAGGCAAGGTGCACGCCTTTTTAAGCAAGGCGCAAAATTACAAAAAAGCTAAAAAATCAAAAATGTCAGAAAATTAAAAAATGCAAAATTTTCAAAAAATATTAAACTTAATGTTAATAAAAAATATGAACTTAAATTTTAAAATAAATGTTTCAAAAAACCTATTATCTAAAATTAAAACGCATAAACATAACATGTAAAGAATATTCAAATGAAAATTTAAAAATAAAAGCAAATATATAAAGCATTTTCAAGCATGTAAAACCCACAATCTCTTTTTTTTCCTTAATTGCATTGCTTCGAGTAGCTAATGTGATGTAAAACATATTGCATTCTTGATTCTATGAGTCGCCCTTGTACCACGCCCCTCAAGGCAAGCCCGAACAAGTCTATGTTAGGGTCTAAAATTCTTATTTCTCACATAAAAATAATGATTTTTTAACTTTCATTGCCTTTTAAGAAGATATTTTATTGCAATGAATAAATGAACAACATTAGCAAATAGGGGGTTCTCAGAGCTTTGGTGAGCGTGTGAACTGGAGTAGAACCCCCCTATTTGCTAATGTTGTTCATTCATTCATTGCAATAAAATATCTTCTTAAAATGCAATGAAAGTTATAAAATCATTATTTTTTTATATGAGAAGTAAGAATTTCAGACCCTAACATAGACTTGTTCGGGCTTGCCTCGAGGGGCGTGGTCGCGCCCCCCCAGCCCAGCCGTTAGACTCAAAAAAGAAAGAAAAAAGTGCAAATTTTAAAAAGGGGTGCACCTAGGACCTGGGTGAGGCACATACCCCAAAATGTGCCTCGCTTGTGCGCCAAGGCGGTCAGGTGCGCCTTTTAAATCACTGGTGTAGATGCCAAGTGTTGATGCACTATAGGTTTCCTCCATGTCAACCTCCAAAGATCATAAAAGTACAAAAGCATGAGATTAGATGCCTGATAAAAAACTCCTCTAGGTTCCATTTTGTGCTGACATTTCTTCCAGTCCCTGGCTCCCTATAATAGGTCCAACCCTAGATCGAAATGGGAAAAGGGAAAACTAAAGGACAATTCTGAAACTGATCAACCTTATTCAGTCACACTGTTTTCGCTTTAATTAAACAGAAGCATTGCACAACCCATAGCTTTTTTGTCATTCATAATCTCAGATGAGTTTAAAAATTAAAATGGAAGTTTCTGATTTCTGCCCAATTTCTTCTATCCTAGTGTTTGATAATCTCGTATCAGTATTTTTTATAGAATTAAAAAACACAATGGTATTAAAAAGAAAATGAATTTTTCTGATCAATAAAAAATAAAATGAATTTTATCTTATCATTTCTGCTTAATTTCTTTTCTTTAAAGGCAATCCCGAAGCCTAGAAGTTTACTAATCAAAAAACACAATTCAGAAGTCCTGCACAAAGAAAATTGGCTATCTGAAACTCCATATTATAATTCTTTCCTATTTTCATTCTTTCTAACCACACTTTATAGTTTATACCTATGGGCCGTGGATCCTCAATGAACAATTGACTTCAGACAGCTTATTTAATCACAAAGAAGGTAATACTCCCATGCAGTTGACTTAAGCCTTTTCTAATACTGTTATTTAGGGAAAAATTATAGAGCTCTGTCGTTGGGATTAGTTGGAATGTTCCAACTTATTGTAACAATTTAAATTTTTTAATGCTTAATGAATTTCTTTGCTGATCAAAAAAATATAAATGAGTTTTCATTATCATCATACAAGCTTCCAATATCCTAAAGTTTTCTCTAGCATTACCTCAAATGAAGTGAATCCAGAACCTGAAGATTGAATAATATCACATGCTAACAAAATGTGCACATTTAGGCACTAATGACCTCAATCAAATAATGACAAATAAAAGTGTAATATTAACAACAGTAATAACAAATTAGAAATTTAGAATACATGAAATTCTAGAATAAGTCAAAATTGACATAAATTCTAAACTAACGAAAACAGCTGTTAGTTAACTGATTGCACAAGTACATACGCTTGTGAATCAGTAAATCATAGAAGTACCTCATGACTTCTTGAATAGTTTTTCAGCAACTTTAAAAGAGTCTCAGCTCCAAGACAGTCACTGGTTTGCAGAAGATTGCTTGGCTTTGCAGCCTTTGATCCAGATTTCCACCCTAAATTTGATCTCTGTTCTTGGGTGCTACACTTGAATGCTACTGCAGGTAACTCCTCCCGAAGATATTTGAGCCATTTCTCAACAGCTTCTCGGGGAACAAGATCTGAAAAGAATATGTATTGTAATTAGTAAAAAGGAGAGGCAAGCATAAAGATGGACTATATTCAATGTTAATGCTACAAATCAAGTGTACACACACACAGAGTAACTAGAAAAGCAATTACCAATCTTATTCAGCAGCAAGACAAGATGCTTATCAGGACCAGACTTCAATACCATCTTTTCCATGTCAACACACCGGGTACCAAGGGGATCACGAGCATCAAGAACTTCCAAAATGACATCTGATGCTTCTATAACTTTAACCAACTCTTTGTAGAAAGCCCTATCTGAATTATCTGCAAGTAGTTGAGGATAATTTTATATTTCAAGGAAAAGAAAATGAAACTATCTTCAGCGTGGAGAATATGTTGCATGACCATTTGGTATCAACTCACCCCGGTTTCTACCACTTCCCAAGGAATTCTCGCCAATGTTTTTCTCTCCAAACTTCTGTTCCTTTGCTGCAGCTGTATCAGCAAGTTGGGCTATATCATCATCCTCCTCAAGCAACCCCAATTTTCTCTTCTGGGCCTGCAAAGACAAAACACACTCATTAGTTATCATAGCAAAAGGGGTAATATATTATCCATAAGAAAATTGAGGGAAACAATGTTTCCAAAGCAAATAATTAATAAAAGCATTGAATCCACTCCGAAGTTTGAAAATTACAGAGCAGCCTGGATCTGCTGATCACAAAATAGTGTACAACATCTACAGCTGCACAGTGGGAAAATCTCTTGTACTATTTATTTTCATTCACGGGGAGATGTTCCCAATGTGTGGCTGTGGTGTTATGTGCACACAGATGTGGTCAGTGTTTTGTTGTCAGAAGATCCGTCCTTATTACATCAACCAGGGCAACATAGAATTTATGCATCAATAAATGCTCTCAGACCTCAATAATGATACATCCATGTGTATCTAACAAGTATGAAATACTGACAAACAAAAGTCCAGCAAAAGATGTGTACCACCTATAGTTCAAGAAGTACACAAGCAACTTCTACTTAGAGGGTATTTGTATGCTTCAGGAAGTCATCAGCATGTTGCACATCTCATGGTTTTAAAAGGCTTAAGCCCTGAGGCAAGGCACTGAGATTTTGCCTCAAGGCTTAAGACTCATAACATTGGTCTGAGGATTAAGCCTAATGTCAAAAAGAGGCATAAGACTCAAGCCTCAAGATGTGAGGATAGAAAGGCATAAGCCTCAAAAACCTATGGCAATTGAATTATTTAATACAAAAAAAATAATGCTTTTTGGTTTTATTATGTTTTTTGATAAGTAAATAACATTTGATTAAAGATAATAGATACCAAGTGAATAGTACAGATACCTAATACAAGCTTCCCAAAGAGAGACACAAGGTGTGACCACTCTCTCAACCAGCAAAATAACTTTTTTTGTTTTATTAAGTTTAAAACATATGGGAAGAGCACTTTGATAATTATGGGCCAAATAAAAAGATTAAAATGAAAAGCTGACCGAGCAAATAGAGCTCCTAATTTCTCTTAGGGTTTTAGAAGAGTTCAATGCAACAAGGGCAAAAAAGAACCTGCATCACTCTCTCTTCATTCTTGGTTATATCAAGTGGGATTTTTATTATTTATATACTTTTGGTGACTAGAAATCTGGCATACTAAGTTGGTCTTTGTTTATATTTTCTCCACAATAAAATACTATCTACCCAATTTTTGCCTCTCAATTCTCTTCCTAATGGATTTCTTTTCTTTTTATTGATTTGTCCATAGATTAAAGCAACTAAGCTGTTTCAATTCTTCTAAAATGTTGGGTAACTAGAATCTAGTATCAATTATATGAATGATTCATTAGAAGATCTCATTAGTGATAGAAACTTTGATGATGGGGAATTTTTGATAATCTAAAACATATTACTGATCAACTGAACAATTCGAGAAATTTGGATTTTGAAACTTGAAATATAAAAGGCTTATAGTTATTATTTGTTGAATGCTAAAAGCCTAGAATTATTACGTAGAAACTTCTACTTTATGGATATTTGTAAATTCTACCATTCTAATTTTTTTTGATGAATAATTCTATCATTCTATTTTAGTGTATCATATAATCAATTTTTAAATTCTTGACGGTTACACCTCACCTTTTTGAACCATTACTCCTCAACTACGCCTTTAGCATTATTTTATTAGTAGTGCTTTTATCCTTTTAAAACCTTGGCAGTTCTGCATTATTTGTGAGGTATTTTAACTTTCTTGCTAATTTATCTGCCAATTTGAATTCCACACACTACCAAACTTTTACCAGACAAAGAAAGACCTATATATTTTCTAATGTACAATCTTCCACAAAGAATATCAAACGCCCATCAAGAAACTTCTGCAAAAATGCACCAATATCTTTTTTTCTTTTGAAGATAAAGAAAAAAATGTTAAACAAAAAGAAGATACAAAGAAGGTCATAAGCAATCATCCAAGAGATAGGAAACAACCCAATGAGAGCTTTTGGTTCGCCCATATGTACACCATGAAAAAAGGAGAGTTTTTTACTCAATGTAGAATTGCATGTTGATGCAAAAACACCATGTCTCTACATAAAATGTATGGTATTTTCAACATGATGCAAAACATTTAACCAAACTTTTAAACCCATGGCGAAACCCAATTGAGCCTCGGCCCAGTAGAAGTGTTTAACTTAAATAAAAAGATGAGAATGAATTCATTGTACCCTCTCCTTCCGTGCGGCTTTTTTCTGCTCCAGCTCCTCAAGAGCCCGAGCCCTACGAGCTTCAAGGGCCCTGAGCTCCTGTTCCTTGAAGGGCCAATCATTGGGGATGCCAGGGTCCTTCTCGACCTTGCGCTTATGCTTGAGACCAAGCTTCTTCGCTTCTTTAGCCTTCTTCTTGTGGTGCTCTTTCACCTTCCTTATGATCTTATACTTCTTCCTCAGCGACACTCTCTTACTCTTGCTCTCTGAATCATTAAAACATCAACTGTCATGTATAACAAGTGAATACAACCTACTTGATATGACAAATTATGGAATAAGTTCACTTAACCAATCAACAGAGAAGTTTGCTCCTATTCATTCACTGGTTCTTAAGAACATGAAATTATGATGTTAAGAAAAGACTAACAAATAAGGATGAATTCACTTACTCTTGCTCTTCTTCACCATTTTGTGAAAACTGAAAGCCCTAGTTAGGGTTTTTTTCCGGAATAGACCAGCTCAATGTACTTAAGCTTACTAGACCAGCTTCAGCGAAGGGCGTTAATTTAAAACCCAACTCAGCAAGTCTGAAGAGCAAAAGAATCCATGTCCGAGCAGAATAACGCCACACCTGCTATGTTCATTCGCAAGAGGGCTGCCTGATTGTCTACTCAGATGGTCAAATTTCCTTTTTTCAGGAAAGATGCATAGAATTAAACAAAGTGAAGGAACGTCTGAGGTTTTTCTTCGGCATTTTACGAGAGGGAAGACGATGAAGGCTGTGCCTGCGCTTATACGAGAGAAAGAAAAAGGAAGTATTCGGGGTTTAGCCGTTTAGGGTTTTGAGAGGCGGCATATAGGGTATTAGGATAAACCCGATTTATACATTGAAATAGCGGGGACCCGAGTCCGGATACCATGTCGACCAATGTATGTGGGAATGTGGCTTTGTGCTTTGTAAGTAATCGACTAGGGAAGGGGTGAGAAAAAAACCGAAAAATCGAACCAATCGAAACAGAATCGAAAAATCAGTTAATCGAAGATTGATTCGGTGTTTTCAAAAAATCAAAGGTAATGGTTCGGTTTTGATTAACTAATATAGAAAACTGGTAATTAATCAACTGACCGGTATACATATATTTCTATATATTTTATATATTTATACATATTATATATATTTTATATATTATAAATTAATAAATATGCATTATATATAAATATATATGTTTATAATATATTATTTATTATTTAAAATATAATATTTTATATATATTTATCATTTTTTATTACATATTTATATATACTTTTTATAGTATATATTGTAAAAACTAAAAAATTGACAATTAACCAAACTGATCAACTGATTAACCAACTGTCTTCGGTTTGGTTCTAGTTACCGGTTTTCCAAAAATTGGTAGTACCGGTTCGATCAGTTCTAGAAAATGCCCCACGGTAACCGAACTGTGAGCACCCCTACTAGGGGTGGTCGAGTCGAGCCGAGTCGAATACTTGGCTATTCGAGCTCAGCTTGCTGAAATAGGCTCGAGCTCGATTCGAGATAGAGATTTGAGCTCGAGCTCGGCTCTGTTCAAAACTCGCAAGTTCAAGCTCAACTCGGCTCGATCTCGACTGCAACTTAAGTTTTTTTCTAAAAAATAAAAAATATACATATAAAAATATTTTTTTATTTTACATACAAAAAATTAAGAATTATAAAAATCACTTATTATTAAACATATAAATAATATACATATAAATAATGTTTTGTTTCACATACAAAAAAATAAGAATTATAAAAATGATTTACCATTATACATAAAAATAAAAATGTTATATATAAAATATTATTATATAATAAAAATTATTTATTATATATGTTTATATATTTATATGTATGTATGTATGTATGCATGTATGTATGTATGTATGTATGTATGTATGTATGTATGTATGTATGTATGTATATAATAAAAAATTATTTAGTTATTATACTAGGCTCATGAGCCTCACGAGCCGAGCTTCATTGGGTTCGAACTCAGCTCAATTAGCAAATGAGCCTAATATCAGGCTTGAGCTCGGCTCGAAGCTTAGTTTAAACCGAGCGGAGCTCGAATAGCTCGTGAGAAACTCGGCTCGTGACCACCCTACTAATCATCTTAAGGAGGATAAGTTATATCATAACCATTGTAGGGAGTGGCTACGAGCTAAGCTTTTCATGAGTGATTTGAGTTCGGCTCATGAAAAGCTCGGTTCATCTCGGTTTAAATCAAGCTTCGAGTTAAATTCGAGCTTAGTACATAGATTCGTTTTTCAATCGAGTTGGGCTCGAGTCTAATAAAATTTGGCTCATGAGGTTTTGCGAGCCTAATCGAGCTTTTGCATATATATACAAATGCATATACATATAAAAATATTATATATATATATATAAATTTTTAAATTTTATATATAACAATAATTAATTTTTTGTAGTTCTTAATTTTTTATATGTCAAATAAAAAAATAATTTTTTATATGTATACTTTTATTTTTATAAAACATTTAATTCATAGTCAAGCTTGAGTCGAGCCAAGCTCAAACTTCAAGCATTAGACTCAAGCCAAATTCGAGCTTTTTTATATGTATACTTTATTTTTATAAAACATTCAATTCACAGTCAAACTCGAGTCGAGCCGAGCTCAAACTTCCAAGCTTTAGACTCAAGCCGAATTCAAGCTCAAGTCTCTAGTTTGAATCGATTTCAAGCTTGAGCTCAAGCCTGATAGTCTATTAGTGAGTCGAGCTCGAATAGCCAGATATTCAACTTGGCTCAACTCAAATCCACCCCTAATAACCTGACTCAGCAAAATGGACAAACCCAGCTACACATTTAAAAAAGTAATTAATCGTCTTTCTACCTTGTAATGTGGTTGTTGCTAACATAGGACTCTTAATCCATGTTGGATACAATAAAAAACCAAAAGTAATTAATCGTCTCTCAATCTCCTGCTCCCTTTGTCTCTCATGCTCCACCTACCTCTCAATGTCCTGCTCCCTTTGTCTCTCTCGCTCCCTTTGCCTCTCGATCTCACTCTCCCTTTGTCTCTCACATTCCCTCTATCTCTCCTACTCCCTTTGTCTCTCCCACTCCCTCTACCTCTCGATCTCCCTCACACTCTCTCACTCTCACAAAGGGAGTGAGAGAGAAAGTGAAAACCATTTTTTTTTTCAAATAACCCATGTTGTGTTCAACATGGATTAAGAGTCACAAGTTGGCAACAATCACATAATCTTCCGATAACATGGTGGGGTTTTTTATAATTTGAAATGTTCAACTAGTTGTCAGAGTTTTGTTGGTTTATGAACTAACTTAGTGAAAGAATGGTAGGATCCATCGTATGGACGCCAAGAAGGTTGCGGAATGGGTGGGCGAATTTCAAAAAATTCCTACCTTTCTTCCAACTGGGAATCGTATTCCCTGATTTTAGAATCAAAAAATTCAAGGATCCTACTTGAACCAAACCAAACCAGATCTGAACCAAGAACAGAGGGAAGGGTTACACCTGATACAAAGAATCAAGGTCTCCCAACGTCGGTGTTCACGCCCAAAGAAATATCCAACATCTGCTCCCGCTGAAGATGACACAGCGATGGTGGGGCAGAACCAACAGTGTACGTCCCACGTACTGAACTCTTCACAAGAATCCGTTGGAGGCTTAGAGCACTGAATCAAACTAGTCTTTCAGCAAAGATTGATATCAAGAACAAGCTTCTTGATCATCCCTTCAAAGGAGTTCGAACCAAGCAGTAAGGCGGCGGCAGTTGGAGGAGTTCCTAAGGTTGAAAGTGGCGTGAATGCAGATTTTAGCTTAGGGAAGGTGAGATCCTATCTCAGATTGCAGAAGAAGTAACTGCAAAACCCCATGTCGAATTCTTGTAATTCTAGATTAGGGTTTCCTCCTTTCTTAGTGATTAAGAAACCTCATAATCCTATTAGGAGTTATCCCAATCCAAATTTGCATTTGGATAGGGGATAATCTTAATCCTATCTGTAGATTAGATCAATCAACTCTTGATCTCATCAAGAGGTTAATCTTAATCCTATCTGCAGATACACCCCCTTAAGTGGGTGATCATATCAGCCCAGGTCGAAATGGGCTTTTAGGCCCATTAAGAAAAATAGTGCTCAATAAGTTTCCAAACTGTTGCCCAGTTGGGCTTCTTTGTATGGCGTGGGACCCAAGCATTGATCTACACATCAGTCACATAGGTTCGGCC